TGTATTTGTGTTTATTGTATATAACATAGTATTAAGATATGTTTTAGAATATGCGAAAACAAGCAATTTGTTTATAATCTCATAAGAAGATTTTTAATTCCTCATTGCAATACAAAGTATGTATACAATTACATTAGGATTAATGATATTTTTTAAGAAAAAAAAATTTATTATTTGAAAAACAATGTATATTTTACTTTTTTGAAGTCAAATATTTGCAACAAATTATCATCTAACAAATTATCATCAGCATAAAATCAAAATTTTGCATTAAAATATAAGATTAGATTGATGAATATTGAAACTAAAGCCTGAATCAAGTTTTGAAGTATATTTTTGATAAACATTATTCTAAAATCACGATTCAAATATACCGCTTTTAATAAATAAAAATTATTATTTTTTATTTTGAAAATTAAATACAAATGATCTTGAATACTTATTTTATTCAAAAAATAAAATCAACTTCAAGATTAAATTTTTAACTGAATTTGACATTAGCAAACTTTATAAATAATATTCAAAACTAAATAAATAAAATCATATGAACATGATGTATGTTGAAATTGCTCTTTTTTTATAGATTTTTGTATAAAAATTTTACCTTAGAATTTTTTAAAAAAAACAGAAGTACATAATTGAATCACTTGTAAGGCTCCGATCGGATTTGGCTAAAATCCGATAACCCTAGTTCAGATCGAATTGGGTTCGGGTACAATGCTATATTCAACCTGAATACTCAAAAATTAATAAAAGCTTTCATTATGGGAGCGTTTATTAAATGACATTAGTCTGATATTACATTAGACTAATGTCACTTACTACTCTGAAGCCACTATCTAGATTATGGAGTTGTGATGCAGAGGACGGTTCATCGTTGAAGGCGCATAAAAGCTTGAAGAGATAATTAATTTTATACGTCAGGCAAAATTTTATTGCTACAATCCTGGAGATATGAATCTTCCATCTGACATCAGGAGAATTATGACAGGGATGAGATCTCAAGACATGTCAACCATACCTATATAATCCAAGACTCATAGGATATCACATGAATAGATGTCAGAGTCTTTGCAAGATTTCAAGCTATACAGCGAAGAAGATCAACACCGTTGATGTAACTCAAGCCTCAGGTATGAATTCCATGAAAACTCGAGTATGTGGTCTGAATGTTTTCGACGCTCTTATTCTCATCTACCATTGAATCGATGTCTGCAATGAAGATTCTAGCAAAGGCGACGTTGCCACTGTCCCCGGCAATCCAAACAATGCTCACTAAGAGAGTGAAAGGAATCTTTCATAACCGGGCTCCCGTTAGATAGGTTGCTAGGTCAGCCTCAAATTTGGAAAGTGAGCATGCAGGCTACTCCAGCAATGACAAGATTGAAACTTTAGCAATTGACGGTGATTCAAAATAGACTCCAAAGTCAACAGACATAGACCTCGCCATCTTTGAAGAGGAAATCTGTAACGAACCCAAGAATTATGGTTTATGAACACATCAATCACTTAAACAAACATGTCAAGATGTTATTATTCCATAAATATTGCGCTAAATCATGATGCATTTCTTAAGATGCTTTATAGAAGACTAGAGTAAGCAAAACAAATCAGATGAACCATGTGAAGAACCATCATAAAAAGCAATATTTTGAAAGTGGTGGTGTAATGATTGAACCAATGAATTGCTACATGTAAAACTACTCAGCTCTCAAAAGGAAGATAGGAGCGAGCTCAGATATTTTTGACAAACTTATTTGTGAGTCAATTGAGAATTTTGTGTTGTCTAAGGTTGAAGGTTTCACATCATTAAATCAAAGTCATTTTTAAGGCTTCTAAAAATATTGTTCAAATATAAGCGAGACAATGTGATGATTCCAAATTTGGTGGTCCTTCGGAACAGTAAAAAAGCTAAGAAGATGAAAGATAAATTTAAAAAGTAGCTTCCAAAAAACAATTCTCTCGTACAAATCATTGGATTTGTCAACATCTAAGAGTCAATTTTCTATTTTGGCAATAATTATCCATTTTTTCTGTCAATACTAAACTCTTTATAAAAAGCTTCTAGCTTTTACGTACACAACTTATCATATCGGAGCTGGAATGGCAAAAGTTGTACAACAAACGCTGAAGGAATTTGAAATTGTTAAGCGTTTTGGATGTTTGTTCATGAACAATGCCTCAAACAATGACACTCAAGTTTCAACTCTAGCGGATTCTTTTGGCGATTATTGCATTCATGAAGAAATATCAAAGGTGTGGAACGCAAATGATTCAAGTATCCAATATCTGTCACACATTCTCAATCTTTTTGTGAAAGTGTTTTTCAAATCTTTAGAAGAAGTCAACGTTATTTCAAACAACGATAAAATTCCAACCAATAACGCTTCTAATCTTATCCAAAGGCTGCATTTTATAGTGAAAAAATTGCACTCCAATCCTCAGCAAAGAAAGCAATTCCTTGGATAATGCAACCTTGTCAATTGTGAAAATTTGATGCTAATCTTAGATGTTTTAACCCGTTGAAACTCATGATATTATATGGTTGAAAGAACAAAAAAAAAATCAAAATTTATTCAAGAATTGACTGCGTATTGATACTCAAAATGGAAATATCAAATGGAATCAATTGCAATCTAGTGATGATGAATGTGAAATGTTTCATAGCATATGTGGCCACTTAAAAAGATTTGAAGAGACCTTGAGATTAATGTCAGGTAGAAGTACCCAACACTCTACTTTGTAGTGTTATTTATGTTGATTTGTTCTCGTATATTGAAGAACAAGTAGTTATTATTGACAATTTGAACCCAATGAAGAACGATTTGTACGCTACACATCAAGTTCACTCCAAGTACTACTCTTTCATGGATGATTTTTATTTCTATATGTTGTATGTAATCTTGGATCCAAGATTCAAAAACACATAACTTGAGCAAAAGGAGCTCAAATGTCTTTATCCAAGATTTATAAGTACTATTGTTACGCGGTTGAAATAGTTCATAATTGACATGAAAATGTTTCGTGGTGTAGATGAAATCAATTTAGTCCAAATGATTCTCCCACATGAACCTCAACAATCAACAATTTTTCCAATCATGTAAGCTCATTGCAATACCGATAATGAATCGCAAGATGAGGTCAACATATAGCTATTCTTACGATCTGAAGATCCTACTGTCTACATTCTAGAAAAGTGAAAAGTTCATGGAAAATAGTTTTCCATTACCAGTGCATTTGCAAATGATGTTCTTTCTATCCCAAGGTCGTCAATGGCCCACGAGCGTATTTTCAATTGCAAACGCAATGTGAATGGTCTGTGACGGTTTGCTCTTATTCCGCAACTTTAAGTACTGTGTTTTGAAATGATTTGCAATAATCAAATAATTTATTTTTTTTAACAATTATTTTCACATTCTATCTAAATCAACTTGACCTCGATTTGATTGGCTTTGGGTTGAAGGTCAAATCGGATTCCATTGTGCACTACTTACTTGTATGTTTTGTGCAGATTTCAAAGATTATCTAATCAATCGAATGAATTTTTCAATGGTTTCAATTATATTAAATATATTTTAATTCTATATGTTTTATCTAAATCAAAATTTTAAATAAAAAAAATCAAAAATTAATACTTTGTTTGCGCTAGCAAACCCACGTGCATAAACACCCATAGTCACAGCCCTTCTTTCTAAATTGTGACACATAGATTTTATACTAGCTTGTTAGAAAGTGCCACATAACTACTTTAACTTATCAATATAAATTAAAGTCAAAAAATACTTTTTTATATTGAAAGTAAATCAAATGTATCAAAAAATCAATGATGAAAATAATCTAATGTATTGTTTCTTACGTATTTCTAATTCAACTCATTCAAACATTTGGACATAAAGAAATCAATGTTTATTGCAAATTTTTATGAAGTTTTATTTTTTCTAGAAATTGTAATAATTATAATTTAACAGAAATTTTGCAATAAATTTATAAAATATATGACTAAGATTTTTTATACAGTCTCGTTAAAAACTTATTTATGTTTTTATGTGCATAGTCATTCATATATATATGATAATTAATTTTTTTAAGTAGAATGGAAAACCAAATACATGTTACGCCCGGATACAAAGTGATGAGCTCCGCTATGTAACCTTGAACCGCACCTTTAGATCCGAAAGGTGTAAAAGAAGGCGCAAGATCTCCAGATTGCGTTATGAAGTATTCTATTGGTACTGCAACCGGCACTATCAAAATACTAACAAGTTTTTATCAGAGACTTTTCCCGACACAGCAAGCAAGGCCCGTCAAATGAGAAGCTTGCCGAAAGAAACAAATGAGCTTTTAGGGTTCTCTGAAAAAGGAGGCAAGCACGGACGCAGCAAGGTATTCTCCCACCTCCCAGTTCCAAGTTAAACGCGGGTTCAACAATCTATGCACTGACTGCCTCTTTGATTTTGATAACATTTGACATGATACTTGTGGGTGTGCTGACCAATTTCTGACACAATATTCCTTGGAGGTCATTGACTGACTGACATAAACTGCAAGTTCTTTCCAATTTGCTTTGTGTTGTCTATTGTCCCGAATTCCGATTTGCCAACTTGCATCTTCATTTCAAACAATTGACCTGCTCCAACATTTGGCTCTCATTTCGTATGCTTTCGCCTTTGCCGATGACAAGTTTCCAAGAAGGGATCAGACTTAGCGCTGCTATTTTGGGCGGGCTAGCTTCACTTCTCAGTCGGTTGTGCGACTCTTATGGTCGGTTATTGGGTAGATTGTGCAAAGGAAATTGAAATTAATCCTCTAGTATTTATTTATGAAGGTGAGCTTTGACAGGGTTCAATTTCTGTGAATGCTTGCGAGAACCTAGAAAACGCTAAATTCGCTACAAAGCCAAATCGTTGACTTCCCGCATCGAATTTGCGAAGTATCGTTCGACGAAGATTGGCGGAAGCTGTAAAAAGCGTTGAATTGTTTGCATTCCAGTTTCTCTCATAGTTTACTCATTTGCTACATGTACACGAGATTTCACTCGTATACTTGCCCCATGTAAAGACGACTCATGCCATCAGTCCCAAACTAATTGTAGCAGATGCTCACCTCTGCCATGGCAGAGGTTTAGGGGTTTAGGCAGAGGACTAGCAAGAGAGAATTACTTTTTTATTCTTCCAGCTTCTATGTTTATACAATTGAGTGCTGACCAGAATGCATGTGCAATCACTTTCTGTCTTGGACAATATCCCGAACTATCTGAAAGCGAGTCCAATTCACGTGGAAGACAAAGTCTGAAAGCCATGTCCTCGGAATCATTGGTCCTTGCATTATGTTTTGTCCCACAGCCTCCGCGAATGAGAATCTGTCGAAGCAATCTCGTATCTGCCCCAGTAGCCAGTTCCATGGGAGACAAATTCAAAATTTGAGATCTGGACATCTTCTGGATGAACACGCATTGATCCTCTGAGAGCACAATTCCTTTAGTTTAATGAGCGTCGGGACATGACTTAGTCAGAAGACGAAACGAGTGAGCTCATTGGGCCTGATCACAGTCAACTTCGTCGCCCGCTCTGGAAGAAGGAGTTATGCTAAAACAAAAAGCACGACCTTTTCGATGTTCGGTTCGTGGATCTGAACGCTGGGGCGGGAGAGAAAGCATCAAGGGATGGCGTACTGATCACCGTACACGCTCCACTGCAAGGGGCTGTCGAGGTCGAAGTTGTTGTTTTGGAGAAAAACGCGCTGGGCATCGTCCACGCGACTGGTGTCCTCGTGAGCAGACTCGGCCTTCATGGCCTCGACGCGAGCGTTCAAAAAGGCGTCGAGGTAAGCGGCCTCGTCGCCGCCCTGGCTTGGGGGACTCTGAGACTCCAAAGCCGTCTGGCGAATGCCACCGAAGGACATGGAATCGTCGCCGGGGCCGTGCATCACCAGAGCGTCGTAGTAGATGAACTGCCCCAGAGCTCGAAGGCCATCCTGCTGGCCTTGCTCCACGGCCGGGTCGAAGTAGACTCGATCGCGCTCGTCGTCCTGGCACTGCTTGAACACCGAGCTCTCGGCAGCCTGCTGCCAGTCGCTGACGAAGTCATCGCCCAGGCCCTCGTGCGTGTCGGATCCCACCGCAGCTCGAAGCGCTGGCAAGTATTTGGCCAGAACGTTTCCGGGCTCTCGATTTTCGTAGAGCTCGACCAGCTCCAGCATGTCCCCAGTGCCGGATGTGAACCCGACGAGGCCGCCTGTGTAACCACGCCCGTCTCCGATGTCCTCAATGTACGAGTATTGTGCCCTCCAGTCGAGAGACGAGTTCTCGGCGCTGGACACGAGTTGCATTGCAATGTCCTTCTTGGCCGGGGTGGACAGATCATCTGCTAGAGCCAAATTGTGCGGAAAGCACAAGAGCAAAAGCACGAGATAGCGGGCCGTCACGCCTCGACAGATCGAGATTGTCGCCATTCGGTTTGAGCCAACAGGCCTCGAGTTCTCTACGCAAGGTGAGATTGAAGAGTGTGAGCAAACTCTCGACTGCAGCGGTGGTACTCAGAGCACCGAAGGCCAAAGGTGCACTGAGTCTGAATTGGATGATCGCATGACTTATAGTCTCCGATCTGGTCCACTTGACTTGTCCTAGAAAGTTTGCGAGTCCCTCGGTGCTCTTCGGTATGTTATTGTGTATAGGTCATTTTTCGTATGTCATTATCTGCAATGAGACCAGTCAGAAAGTCCTTGTTGATATCTACTTTTCGTACAGTCAACACGCTTATCGCTCATTGCATTGACTCTAACAGTCTGTTTCGTTCGCGGAGCGCTGATCGCTGTTGAGTCTTGAGCCCCATAATTCTTAGAGATTCCCATTGGCGTTCATTCATCTGTCGTAACGCGACTCGAGTATTTTACAACGTATTCTCGCAAGGTGAGAGTATTGACGAGTTGCTTGTGAAAAATCGTTCAGCTTAGCGAGCAAATTTGTATCGTATTTCTCACGGATCTGTACTGTAGGTGTTCTGTGCTAAAATTTTTAAACTGGAACTGAGCCACCTTACTGTGAACTAGTTTGTATGTGCGCAACGTGAACCATTTCATGTTGTCGGGTCGAATGTGAAAGGGTCGACGACATATTGTCCAACTGGATGGAAGCTGCGGGAAGGAGAACCAGTTTTGCTTTCTGGGTGTAAATTGACCTTTGAGGACAGCTTCTGAGTACAGAAATTGTGCTCCAAGCACGACTTCGAAGGCAAAGGACCACTGCCGATTATTTGCCGAAACGTCCTTCGCTGACATGAACTTGTTGATCTACGTGATTACAAATTCATAACAAGCTCATACGATGACGATGCAACCATTATTACGGCACTTGAAAATAGCAGCACTTATACTCATATGCTCTTGGTTGCATTTTGTTAACCATTACTCTGTTCGCAGTAAACCGGACATATGTGTGCTATCATAAAAGAAAAATGGTTGCTGTATGGGATACGGGGTGAATAGCGCGTAAGCCCGTATGAAGTATTCACCCCATCTTTTAGTAGGGTTTATGAGGTATTCACCTCGTAAGCCCTACTACATGATGTGACGAAAAAAATAAATTGTGTTGATTCGTAAATAATTTACTCATGCACTTTACTAAAAACTGGTATTTCTTGATTTACAGAAATCATAAGTTGTAAGTAAAATGTAATTAAAGAACGTTTTTTGCTATATATAAACCAGATTCATACATCTATCTACGTGATATTAGATCAATACAACAAGAAGTTTCTGAGAGCAAGGGAAAACTTCTCTGATTATTATAAAACTTAACCAAATGAATAAGTTCGATATGCAGTATATACCTTGTATATGTCAGTTAAACATGTACAAAATGTACATGTCAATTGTGCAGCTCATCCGGGTGAGACCTTGCACTTTGTATATAAATCTTTTTATTGACCTTCGAGAACCTTGTGGGGCTAACGTGGAATGCTTATGTAAGGTTGGGATGAAAAGCAAGCATTGTTTTTGCGAACGGTTTTATATTTGTTGCTGAATAGTTCTTAAATGATCTCGGCGTAGAAGACATTAATTTGATTTTGTAGATATTAGTGGTCTGATATTTGTTGCATTAAATTTGTTCTTCTATCTGGACAGTTCTTTGACTAATACCATATTCGTCGTTACTTTAGCATGGGCCCTCTGAATGAAGACTTTTAGAAAAATGATGGATCAACATTCTCGAAGAGTGTAACTAGGTGGAGTTCAGACCAAACTGCAACTATTCTCAGCTCTCGAGGCCAATGCGCGTAGTCGTGAACTGTGGAAGACTCAATAAATTGGAGAAAATCACCGCTGAGGCATCTTTGACTCTTGCATTTGCAAATGTGTTGTGTCAGAGTAAACATGTGGAGAGCGATGGAGCACTCGAGGTAACGCTGTACGCTTGTATGTGTGTAGTGGCCTCTATTGATATATTAGCTGCGTTGCGGATGTCAAGCATACGAACCTTGAAAATCACTCGCCCAGCAAGCGAGGAAGTAATTCAAAGTGCTGCTATTCCTACAGAAAATTGGTGGCTATTTATGGAAAAATGCCCTGTATATTTTGTGAGTGTAGCACCAATGTCTCCAACACCCAGGATGCAGATCTATCTGGCTGTGGATACGGGCAAGCTGCTCACATGGTAGCGATGAGAATCTGGCAAGGTTCGTGTGTCTGTTTCGAATCAATTTTCAAGCTGCATATGCCCACTTTTCAAACTCAGAGTTTTGGTTCCCCAAGCTAGCTATCTATCGTATTCCAATTCCAATTTGGTACTACGACTTGCAACGATATCCAATTAACAGCATGCTCGTTTATTATCCAGCACTAACAACGTGTACATTGGTTCGCTCTTTTTCCTGATTTGAATGCAGGACAATCCTCTATTACCACCAACATAAATTGGATATTTTAAAAAGTTCACATGAACGCTGCTTCGTCCGCTCTTACTTTATCTTGTTTATGTAGCACATAAACAAGATAGATACATGCAGGCACGCTGACGGTGAGTAAGACACCTCACAAAACTCGGACAGCTCAAGACGAACAGGTCTCCAAACCGCAAATCCACGAGAAGAGCCAAAAGACGGTCAAGCGAGAAGGAAATGATTGTTTTCGTTTCACGACCCATGAGTGAATATGTAAACATATCACTGCATGCAATGAACACAAATCGAGAATAAATATAATTGGGATTAAACTCGACAAGAAGCTTGCTTACACCTGTCCTTTTCATGCAATGCTTTGGACATAGCGAGGAAGGAAGCTTCTGACGTCCGGTGACGGTAAACCTCTAAAAGAGAAGATGCTACATCGGACCCTAAGGATCGAGCTTCCGGTTTGGATGCCAAGCGAGCCATTAATGGAATCCAGATTTCTGGTGCTGAAGAAACTGCATTAGCAAAGGCTTGGAATCCTACTTTTACCCGCCCGCCAAAAGAATCGGACACCTGCACAATAACAATCATGAAGCAGAAGATTATTCTTCTCTTTCACAGATTAGAGGTCACAGAAAGCTGCGAGAGAGAAAGCTGCGAAAGCAGAAATTGGCTCGTAGAGCTAGTCTAATTCTTCAGGCTCTTTCACGAACTGGTGAGACATGCAACGCATGAGAGATGATTGCAAACCCACCTTCTCCTCGTCCTTGGGTGTTTGTGAGCTGGACGCAGTGCCTGGATCCTTCAGACTTCTCTTATGTCCTCCATCTGCAGTCCCGTCTTTCGTGGACATCTTCGGACGTGGAGTGATCTTCTCTCCTGTCGCCGCCTTCAGTTTAGTATCTGCATCCATCTCCTGCTGCCACAACCTCGTTCCTCGAAGGCTTTTGCCAGGTTTTTTACCCCAAACATTAGCAGTTGTGTATCTACTCCAAGGAAAAGAACTGGAAGTGCCTTCTCGTGAGAAACCCCATGGATATAGTTGCCAAAGGGGATTTCCTTGCGGTTTAGAATACTGGGTGTCGTCCTCTTCATCAACTTTGCTACTGGTGCTAGAATCCCGAGACTTATCTCGGAAGTTATGATACAACTCATCGAAATCAAGATACTGTGCAATGTATTGCTGTAGTAGAAGGTCTGAAGTTTGAGTAATATCCTGAACCAGAAGGGTTCGGACCCTTGTCCCTTTTCCTGACAATATAAACTCTAACACATCCATTGTGGCTGACGCCACAGCTCGGGTATTGAAAGCACCCTTGATCCCAGCAGCTGCTCTACGTCCCAAACCGTCCCGTACACTATATCGCTTTGCTTTGCTTGGATCGTCACTGATTGACGTGGATTGCTCAGCAATTGCAAAAACCTATCAACAAAAGAAGTGTAATATGAAGTAGCAGAGAGCAGAAATTGACCAATACGATGACTGTAGTAACAGAGTAACTTTGAGCCCATAAGAATCCACAGTTTCACGGAACAGGATAAGAAATGGATTGTGCAACCTAACATGTCTCTTCGCAGATTCTCTACCAGGAAATAAGAAGAAAAGCAGACAAGGATTTGATTTAATACTCTTTTGTAACCATGACTTCTCCCTGCAGATACCACATTGTTAATAAACGTAACAGAGGGTAGAAGGGGCAAAACTATTTCAGTGTATTATGCTAGTATTATACAATTCATCCCGCAGATATCAATTACTTCAGTATGACATGCAAAAAGTTTCCAGCTTACCAGGCGCTCCAGACGGTGCCATCGGATAGATCCATTATTTCGAATAAGAAGCTCTCTTAAAATTTCTCGCATTTCAGGATCGGGATCCGCCAGCAATCTACCCACAATAAAAGGATATGCACTAGCCACCACTTTAAACTCAGGGTCCAACACCGTGGCAGTGCCTTCCAGAGAACCCAAAGCTCTGATAACCATGGCGTATTCTGGAGGTAAACGAAAATTGAACTGGTACATAACGTCTGATAATTGTGTCATGATGCCCTGTACACGGATGTATATAGTTGATTTAGTTGCAACTAGGACAAGGAGCAGTTAGAACTTCGAGACTTCGTTAGACAGTTAGAAGTTCGTGACAGAATATTGACCTCCTGATCATTTAAGCAGCAGAAATACTCTACAAAATCTATTGGCCTTACGTGAAACGAGAACAAGTCAAGAGCACAGGATCTTCAACAGGTACCAAATTTTAAAAGGAACACACCATTATTTTCAGAAAGAGAGGAACTACCTGAAAGTCCAGCTGTGACTTCGTTCCCTCGTCTCCAAATGTTTCATTCAAAGCTTTGGCAATCGGTGCAATGTCTATTTCTTGTGGTAAGAAACCAAGAGTCTGAAAATCCTTCGCCAAACCTACTGAATCTCGATTAACGAAATGTATAATCTGCAGAGACGACAGAACACAACATTTCATCCAAAGTGTTAAATAACTGGAACATGTGAATACATGCGGCATTTAAGCTTACTACAGTGGTATTTGAGGATTAAATGATGCGAATCAAATAAAAATTGAGATGCACAAGAAATATAGCAAGAGATTTACTCACTGTTCGTATAAGTCCGATTCGATATTCTCTGCGAATTTCGCTCATCATGCCAAAGTCAAAGTAAGCTAGCACACCTTCCTTGGTTACCACAAGGTTTCCGGGGTGCGGGTCTGCATGAAAAAACCCTTCTTCCAGCAGTTGCCTGAGAGAACAAAAGACTCCCTGCCCAAATGGCCTCTAATTGTGTGAGCTACATCTACCACGTCCTAACATGCTAGAGAATTGGTAGCTCACGACACATTTACTCAATTTCGACTAAAAAGAATAAGGCAACAATTTGCTTAAATGCTTCCACAATCTGCGTCATCATTGATAAGCTAAACATGAAGAACTGTGATTCATAGATCTGAGGGTCATGGGAAATGGATCATTGTTAAGAAAGGTAATACTAACCTGATCAACAACCTGTGTGGTATTTAAATTTGCTTTCCTCAGTGAATCTCCATCAGTCAATTTCAGACCGTCTATCCATTCCATTGTTAGAACTCCTTTGCTAGAAAGAGGCCAATATACTTTGGGAACTTTAACAACTCCTTCGATACTGGTCTCACTATTTTTCAGTCGTATCCTCTCCGCTCCTCGAATAGGTTTGTGTCCTGAGAAGCTCATCGTAGACTTGAGTTACTAACAAAATGAGCCGTAAAACTTCATGCATACATGAAGTGAAAAAAGTTTCGAGCATTTTGTAGTGTTTCTTTCTTGCAGAGCAACATAGTACAAAAGTGATCGACAGCTTAAGAACCTTGCAGTATATCCACAACTATTTATAGCATCGACATTTCTCGCTATCTACGCTGCGGATGCACGTATTCGATTGCAGATTGTCATGATTGTGATGAGTTGCCTCTTGTCCTTTCCTACAAAGACAACACTAGCGTTCATCTTCACGTTTGGGACTAAAAATTACCACGGCGAAGAGGACTTTTAATTCAGCAACTTTTTAGATGGCAGATGTTGGCTTACAAACAGAAATAATTTAAATTCAAGTTCCACCCTGCCATTCAGTTTCAAAAATGTATCATTCATTAATACTGATCAGGAAGAGTCGAGATGACATACCATCGTCCTCCTGAGGTATCCCATACAGCTTGGCAAAGCGTTCTGCGTACCGCCCTTCTCGAACATAATCAACTTCTTCAAACATACGCTCAACCTAGAGTCAATAAGAGACATCAGCTTCCATACGCATACCATACTGATATCTCGTGCAACATTATCAAAAACCTTGAAGCAGAAGAGCTTCTATGACACTGAAAACGATTTAGACAAATAGGGGACTGGAGGTAGATGTTGACGACCCTCGTACCATCTCATTCAGCATGGCAAGGAGGTCACTTCGAGCTCCAGCAAAACGTTGCAATGGTGGGCCGAGTAAACGTAGAAGATGTGCATCAAGTGCCAAGCGTCCAGTGACCCCTGGCCTCTGCACCTTGACAGCCACCGACTCCCCTGAATGAAGTCGCGCTGCTTTTTCACACCAAAATACATGAGAATCTGACTAGCATTCTCCCTTAAAGGTCATCAATAGTGTCCGTCACCTAATATCATCCTCTTCCCTCAAATAGATTAGAGCCTGAAATAAGAGGCCGGATATCCGTGTTCATTTAAGATTTGCTCGTAAATATTTTCCATTCTTAGCCCGTGTCACCTGAAACTGAGAGTAATTTGGAATTCTAGTCGCTATGTTGGAGCTGAAGGCTTTCGGTCGTCAGTCTGAGGTACCTTTATAGACTTGACCGAGAGAGGCTGCTGCCACCGGTTCAGGGGTGATGTATGCATATAATTGAGAAGCCGGTGCACCTAATTCTACTTCCAGAAACTCCAAAGCTGTAGAGGTAGGGTAGGGAGGAATTTGATCCTGAGTCAAGATAGTACAACAAGTCAGAAATGACCAAAAAGAGAACACACATGAACGCAAATGAGACACTAGAACAGTAAAATCTATACTCCTGTTTTACCTTATATATTGTTGATTGAAAGGTGTTGCGGCGCGAAGCTCACAGTTGTTATCTTATTACGCACGTCTGTTTCATGATGGAAGGAATTAAATACAGAGACAAACCTGCAACTTAGCGAGCTCTTGACAGTAGGCAGTGGGCAGAATGTCCGGGCGTGTGCTAAGCGCCTGACCTAGCTGCATCACAATGCTATCATCGAATAAGTAACTGGACAGACTCTTCAGGAAATATAATGTAAAATACTCACATCGAGACCATTTATTAATCACCTTACAATGTGAAATTTTCCTTCCTCAAATTTCTCCAGATCTGAACATCTCTCTACTGAGACTATGTCATATACACCCAGGAGCTCTAATAAAACAAATATTTAAGAATAGACTTATCCAAAGCTGGGCCTAGTTAGATGGTACTCGAACATACAATTCCAGATAGTATAGTATCAATAAATCGCAGACCCGTGCTTAGAAACTTACCTTGATATAGAAGGGACCTAATCGTATAAGACTCCGCCGCAACTAGAAATTACAATCAAGGATGTCAGAATCTCCTACGAATCTTTGTTTGAGAAAGTAAATTCAGAGTCAAGTGTGTGCAAAGCGTATCACAACATCATCAGAATAAACCGTCTATACCACTTACATAATTTTCGTACAACGGTTTCCACTGCACATCAGTTCAGTGGTGATTACTTGAAACACTATCATCATTAACACGGTCTAGACATCAAGAGTCGCAGATTTGCTGAGTCAACAGTCCGTCTCAAGAACTTAATGCTAGAAAAAACAATTGCTTCATTTAAGAGGAGTATATACAGGTATCCCAATCGATATGTGAAGTCAAGGAAGCGTGATACCCTTGCAGCTCGCTTTTGAATATCCTTCTCCACCGTTTGGCCGATGCCTAGAAGCAGCATTTCCACAATTATCACAGTGGCTCTACGGATTACTGGGAATGGCCGGAAACGGTAATACCGTGAAAACTCCTCTGGGTTGTAGATAGTCCATTCTGGTGCTCCACGACCAGTAGATCCAGAATGAATGCTCCTCCTATTTCCACCATGGAAACTGCACCAAGGACAGAAATTAGCAAGAACATACAAAACTATTGTGATACTTACTGATTCATTCACATAACTTTTCGAAGCCAAGAAGAGCCAGCAAAGAAATCCACTCCGGGGTAGTATTAGCTTGAAATCGCCACCTCTAGCACTTGACAGTGATGTATCAACGCTCACGCTTTAAAGCTCTATTATACTTCATAAATGCAGTTGACTTAACAAGCATGATGTAAGCGCCGAATCATCTATTCTCTGATCCATGTTCAATGAAAATACCTGCACTAATTTCGGCTACTGCATGCCGAAACGTATAACAACCATAGAGGAAGATAAACAAGACTTACGGTGGAAAAGGAGTAGAAGATTCAAGGGAATGCAAGGGCCGAGTTTCAGGAGAAGTAAAGGTATTATTCGATAACCGTGAAGCGCTGCTGGTCCCATCTTCTGCATCAAAAGGGCCTACGGAAGCAGCCAACAGAGCTAATCAATTGAACAGGTAAAGCCTTGCGTACATTGCAACCTGTTCCTCAAAATTGGGCAAATAGTCATCAACGTTCTCAAAGCTAAATTGCAAGCTTTCCAAGCACTAGGAATTGTTTCAAAAGTTTTTTCAGATGGAGGCACATGCATGAAAACGGCACAAATGGATAAAACGTTAAGTTCAAAAGCGGGTTTAGGGTTTAAGGGTGCATCCATCACTCAATTCTTTGACTGTGAAGTCTGAACTTGCAACCAAAATATGAGTCCATATATTTCGAGTATAATTTTTGGAGACCAAGAAATTCTTACGAAAATTATATAAAAATTCAGCACACTTCTGGTATTTTAGAACCCCGTGCCTTGAACGATATGACAGACGAGGATTACTAACCTCCAAGCAGAAGCCGCGATAGCTGAGAACTGCCAAGTCGACTTTGGCGATGCGACCTTATCAGTAAACAGAGTGTCCCCATCGGCTGTCACTCCTCTGTTCTCATCCTTTGGAAAAATAATCTTATTACTTGTAAATGTGATACGGGTTTTCCAAATTCCCCAATCGAAAAACTTCTTGTGAATTTCGATTAACATCATCGAGACATGGGTTGCCCTACCCTGTCCAAGCTTCTCCTCCTCGGTCGGGGGCAAATTTATTTCAATGAATTTGAAGGTACTAACCGAAATAAATTCCACCAAAAGCTGAATCACAGTTTTCGTCTCGACTCACAAATGCAAAATTCGGCCAATTTACTTCGCCAGGTTCTCAACCGCAGCGAACGTATTCCAAAGAACCGGATATTTTTGCCAGAGCACTGCTGTCACATTTCTGACGCATGAAAAGTCCGTACGTGGAAGGATCCAAAAACTCCGCAGCAGCTGCTGCTCTTACTGTGGTGGTCAGGAAAATTCGAGCAACTCTCAAGCTATAAAGATCTCACAATCACTCATTCCGCCAATCAACGAACCTGGAACAAGGATGAAAATGACAACGAGCTAAAAACTACAGTACTATGTTGCTTGGGCTACTCGAGCGAAGCATGTAGCTGGTCGATGGGAGAGAGCTGCGGCAGCGAGTAGGCGAGTCGATCGATCAGTGAAGAGGAAGAAGATGAAGAACTCCGCATGCAGGGGACCGATGGGACCATACGACAGTGCCAAATTCGAGGTGAGGGCGGAGCAAGCACATCTCCTCTTCGCTTTCGCTTTCTCGGGCCTGACTCGTCATCATGCTTCCCTCCTTGACATGTCCAATCAGTCCTATCCCTCCGCGTGCCTTGTCCACGCGGCGCTGTCGCAGCACTCCACTTCATCTACTCTTAAGGATCCTCCTTGCCATATTACTCGGCTTGCCCTGCTGCCTCCTCTTGACGACTCTGTTCTCCTAATTATTGTAGACTGATTAGGGTCACCACAAGGTACCCCATCTGATCATGCGCAGCGCGGCTATTTTTTTATTCCTAGTTCCTCTAGGGCGGTTCACAGGAACTACTCGCCTCGGACTTTGTGATATGTTTCTGAATGATTGAAGTCCGTGGATTAAAAAGTATATTAAGTCCGTATAACTTATGTATATTGGTATAATGTAACATATTTTCATAAGAAAGTGATAACTTGTTACATTTTTTATTTTAGATGAATCAATATGCATCGTGTTTACTAAAACTTAACCTCTGTTTGAAATTAAATTTTTCCTAGTCTGAAAATTACATATGAAAAGTATCAAATCAAAGATTGAAAATTTACTAACAAAATCATATTAGTATTGATATAAATATGAATAAAATTTATCCTAATTCATTTAACTATTCTTTTTGAGCATATTATGTCAAATAAAAATAGTTGAACAAAAATTTAAATGTATTGAAAATCACAAGGGGTATAAGTTTTTTTATGAAAAAAACTAGAAAACAATTTCATTGGACAAAAAATCTAGTCGTACCTTTTTCCAGATTTCACTGATTAAAATATAAGATAATTGATTACTGGAACTGATTCATCTACTACTGAATTAAGAAATATAATAAATACTGCACGTTTTAACATTTGCAATTATGAATGAAAGTGTATAAATTTTACATATCATTGATGCTGAATTGTATGGAAAAATAAAATTTACTATGAATAAATTATTCATGACTTTTTTTTTGCAACAAATTTTATTTCATGCACAAAAGATTTTTACATGTTGTTTGTGTACGGTGTTAGTTATATTATTCTATTTATTAAATGCAAGATCATCAATAAGTGTCAAAAAATTATTAAATGCCTATGGACTTGTCCACTTTTTTAATGAAATAACTGTGCAAAATTTGAAGCATTCAAGTTAAGCAAGTGAATTTGTGACACTATATTAGAAATATTTATTTTTTATTCATTTATTACAAATTAAACATATTTAACACAGAAAAAAAAATTCTATAAGTCTCATCGGGATCAAAAAAATTGCTTAAATTTATTAATTAGAAAATTATTTTATTTATCTCAGAAATTTATAAGTCTATTCAGTCAAAATAGCTAAAATTATTACCAAATGTGACATTTATTCACTATGATATTCTATAAAATTAATTAAAAAAAAGGAAAGATCACATCAAGATCAAGATCACATCTTCAAAAGTGATCTTGATATTCTGATAAAATTAAAAATATAGGAACGTGACACATTCATGACACATAATCATCTTCAATTTGAAGCTTGCAGAAACTTACCACAATTATACTTATCACATATAATGGTATTTTATAAGAAAATATCTCAAAGTTCAAATCAAAGAACATTATTTTTTTAAATTCAATCTAATGATATTAAATTTTCAAGTTATCTCATATGTATTTCAAAAAATAAGCGAAGAAAATAAATATAAAAAATTCATATTTTTTTTATGTGTTCAGAACTTGAATTTTGAGCTTATAAATATCCATAAATTCATTTTTTTTCTTTTAAGTATGAAAATCTTCATGTTTTTTCAATGGTGAAAGACTTTTGCTGAAAATTAGATCAAAGACATATTTTGTACTATTGAATATTACAAAAAATCTCAAATTGAATATTCTATTCAATTTGAGAGGAACTAACATCACTATTTAATGAAAACATATCATACCATAATTAGTTTATCAAATCAAAATAAAACTATTAATATTTATTTAAGAAGATATTAAATTATCATTTGTATATATTTCATATAAAAAATTTATGCATATAATAATATTATAGTATTTATTTATATATTTTTTCAAAAGATTGCTGAAATCAGTAATTGTATAGCTCAAAATTACTTATGTGTGACATGCAGTCATGCGTAAAATAGCTGATCGAAGGCCGCGCCGCCCAAATTATCTAAGTGCCTGCGCTTTCGCGGCTAAATTAACTAATTGTGCGAATGCAAGAGAATGCGCGTGTGTGCGTCGAAAAATTGATCTCACATTGTCACACTTGTATGCATATTTGCCATGTCCAGGAAATGTTTGTCTGGGTATGTTAATAACAATGAGTTCCGTTGTGGTCTTAACAATGCACCTCATGATCTTAGGTTGTCAGAAATCTTCACTGGCACTTCTGCATTGCATTTGGCCGGGAGGATTATTTTTAATATAAAATTTCACTTTGTATGATGTCAAAATAAAATTAAAACTAACGTTTTAAACATGATCAAGTCACACCTTAAAAACATATTATGTTTAACATACGTATATTAAATTAAAATAATAAAATTAAAATATTAAATATGTAAAAAAATTTATATTTGACATTATAAGTTTATATTTTTTTAAAATATTGTGATTACATGAAAATAATTACTTTTTAAATAAAAAAAAGTTAAAATAACATACATGTTGAAGAATCTTACAAGTCATAAGATTCCAAAAAAACAAGTGTCATCATTGACATTTACATTGCAAGATTTATATAAATTGATAAATGGTAGACTCTTTAATGATGTATATCCTTACAGAACATTGCATGAATCTATATTACTAATTTTAGACACGTATAAACAAGTTTGAAAATGATACAGCATGCCACCTGGAGATGTTGTAGAATGTGCGAAGACGCATCCTGCTTTCGCACAAGTAAGTGCCACTCGGCCTTCTTACTCTGCAATGCAGCTTCAAGCAATTATGGAAGAAGGTGCCCCTCTGAGACGTAGAAGCCCCAGAAATGGACCCAACTCGCACTCAGTTAAAAAACGATACCAAACGCAACTCTTCAGATAGAGAACGAAGAACTTCACCGACCCATAGCGACGGTGGAAGCTTCGGAAGGAGGTATGGGTGTCGGTTCGGGCCCGAGCGATAGGATAGGATAGACCAGAACAGGACAGAACAGAACAGAGGAAAAGGAAGCGGGGCCTGGCGGTGATGCGTCGGTCGAGTCAGCATGTCGTAGGCGGCGGGGCCGGAGCTTTATCCTCCCGGCCATTTATAGCAACACAGAGGCCGCTGATGTGGAACCGCCTGCCCGAAATGGAGGTCTGCTTCGTCCCGATTGTTGCTCGATGCACTTCTCCGCTGGCGTGTTACTCGTGATGCGACGGCCTCTCGGCACGTGCCCCCTGCCAGCCAGCCAGCCAGCCAGCAGCGGCGCGGGGCCGAGGCCAGCCCAGGGGTCCCAACGGGGAGTTCGTAGTCATTTCCATTCTCCGATCTTGTCGTCTCCTCTACCTTCTTCTCCTTCCCCTTCTGCTGCACCAGTAGCCAGCAGCAGTTGCAGCAGCACGGCTCTGCTCTCCTCTTCCCTTCATTCCTTCCTTCCTTGCATTCTTTCTTTCCTCTTGCGGATGCGTCTCGTTCAGGCAAGCGGACCGTGGTTCGATGTCGCACCGAGAACGATTTAATTTCCCATAAAGTCGAATCTCGGATTAGTGGGCGGGGACGACGACGACGGTGGTGGTGTTGGTGCCGGTGGGGCTGGACTGGACTGGACTGGGCGATGTCTGCGGCGATTTAATTTGGATGAGATGAACTTGTTTGCTGGGTCGACGAAGGCGGGGAGGGAAGGGGGCCGAGAGAGAAGTGGAGAACTTTTACGGTTATTGGGGTGTGAATTGGGATGGATAGTTGTGGATCGAGAGTGAGTAGTGCAACTGGCAATTTGTGGAGCGGTGGGCTGGTTTCTCGTTGGCAGGTGTCGAGCATTTCAAGAAGTTGATTATTAGCTGCGGAGGAGCTTGCCGATTCGAAATCAGGAATCTTCTGGGGAACGGCTGGGAGTCGATGCGTGGGCGGCGAATTTGTCGTCAGCTGACTGCAGGAGACGTGCGTTTGGATGCTCAGGGTTGTGTAGGAAAGACGTTTCTTCCTGCGAAGGATTGGAATGATATCCTGGTACGAAAGGGATAATTTCACTCGATTTTCCTCGATTCCTTGTAAACTGTAAGAATCCCTGGACATGTCGTCCATATCACCTCCGATAATCGCAAACTCATGCGTTTCACATTGTGGCTCATGCCGGTCAACCAGGTCTTGTGAAGGAGGAATTTTGACGAGAATCAGCATGGAGATGCCGAGGACAGGAGACAGACATCGGTCGGGAAGCTCATTGCGCGTTCATCAGTTATTGGAATTGGCATTGAATAGCTCGTAGAGTTCTCATCGATCGTATGACCTTGTAGATCAAATCCTGTTCGAGCAAGGTTTGGTTTCCAGGCGAGGTTTGGGTTTCTACAAAGTCTGAGGCGGATTGTGGATCAAGAGAGGTCGGTGTCGGAGGGGAGGTCTGGAAGTCAGGAAGCATGGAGTCCAGCAGTGAAGAAGCGGCTCTGGACCTGTTCAGAGTAGGGCCGACGACGATGGTGGGTCGAGCCCTGGCTGTGCAAGTTCTGTTCTGCAAATCGACGAAGGAGTTCATGCTCTTTATTCTGGCCAAGGTAGTGCGAGAGTGGAGGAGGGTGAGAACGTGGGTGGGCATTGTGTTGAAAAGACTGATGCGGGTGGTGAACCCGAGGAATCCCAGTGTGGTGCTCGCCGTGGTGGTGGGCGCGATGATATTTTTGCGGCGGTCGAAAGCGGTGTCCAACAAGGCAGAGCAAACGTACAGGAGGAAGTTCTGGTCGAATCTGATGAAATCTGCCCTCACTTATGATGAATGGGCGCATGCTGCGACCATGCTGGAGAAGGCCAGCGATCGCAAAAGGGATTCGGATTTGTATGATGAGGATCTCGTACGCGCGAAGTTCAACGAGCTTCGAGAACGGAGACTTGAAGGTGGGGTTGAGGACATTCTCTTCTGCCTGCGTGCCGATTTGGTGAGGAATTTAGGCAACATGTGCAATCCTGAGCTCCACAAGGGCCGGTTGCAGTCCCCTATCGTCATCCGAGAATATATTAACGAGGTCCGGTTTCACTTGCGCTCTGTTTGCGAGACTGATTCCGAGGAATTCTCGTTGGAAGAGAAGATTGCCTTCATACATGAGACTCGACATGCGTTCGGGCGCACGGCTCTGTTGTTGAGTGGAGGAGCAGCACTAGGAGCATTCCATCTGGGCGTTGTGAGGACTTTAATTGAGCACCGGTTGCTGCCGAGAGTAGTGGCTGGCGCAAGCGTTGGGTCCATTACCTGCTCCTTCACTGCTACGCGGACGTGGTCAGAATTGCAGAGCTTTTTTGATGATCCCATGCCACCCATGCACTTTTTTGAATCCATGGGAAGCATCATGTCCACCGCGCACAGACTTTTCACCAAAGGTGCAGTGCATGAAATCGGGCAGCTCCAGCGCAAGATGAGACAGCTGATTGGGGACTTGACTTTCCAGGAGGCTTATGATTTATCAGGTCGAGTTCTCGGGATATCAGTGTGCTCTCCTCGAAAACACGAACCACCTCGCTGCTTGAACTACTTGACATCTCCACATGTAGTTATTTGGAGCGCCGTCACAGCATCTTGCGCCTTTCCCGGCCTTTTTGAGGCTCAAGAGTTGATGGCTAAGGATCGCCATGGCCGGCTGGTGCCATATCACAGCCCCACACTCGGGTCGGTGGGTCCTGAGGAACTCAACAACATGAAGAGGCAGTGGCGCGATGGTAGCCTGGAAAGTGATTTGCCCATGGTGCAGCTGAAGGAGCTCTTCAATGTCAACCATTTTGTTGTTAGTCAGGCCAATCCGCATATCGCACCACTTCTGCGGATGAAGGAACTCACTCGGGCTTGGGGAGGGGATTTTGCCGCTAAGGTTAGAGATTTTTGACAGTTTTGGTGTTTATTAAGTTAAGCTCGGAATCAGATATGAATGTAGTTTCAGTTGAATGTCAGTATAAGCATGTATGCATTTGTTCCATTAATGAAGTGATTTCTGCTGAATGTTCTGCAGCTGGCCCATATTACTGAGATGGAGGTTAAGCATCGATGCAGTCAGGTTTTACAAATGGGTTTCAGGGCAGGAGGGCTTGCGAAGCTCTTTGCGCAGGATTGGGAGGGTGACGTGACCATCGTAATGCCTGCAACGTTTGCACAGGTATGGTAGCACAGGAGTAGTAAGTTATTTGAGTGTTTGAAAAGATGGAAATCAAATTGTCACGGGGTTTTGAAGCTCAGAGGGCCGCAAACATTTGCTTATGAAGTTTTCAAGTATAGAAAATTTGGGGAGAAAGTTGCGAAGTCCTGGCTTTTTTCGCTTCTTCTTATCCATATATTCCTGTTTCCGGAGCTTGTCCTCATGTTCGCATGTTCGGTCGTTGTTGATTTTTTGCAGTTCGCCAAAATTATACAGAACCCCACACCATCTGAGCTGCGGAAGGCAGTTATGCAAGGACGCAGATGTACTTGGGCAAAATTATCAGCCATTCAGGCAAATTGTGGTATCGAGTTGATGTTAGACGAATGTGTTTCAGAGCTTAATCGTCGTAGAAAAGCTCAGAAAGATGCTCAACGTGCTCAACATGCATCAAACGCAGCATTTAACCGGAGCACAACTAAAAGAATTCCTTCCTGGAATTGCTTAGCTCGCGAGAGTTCTTGGGGTTCCCTGGATGAAGATGGAATGGAGGCTGCAATGCAACCGGGAGGACCATGGGGAGGCCCTTCCTTGCGCAAGTTGAGACCAAACCGCAATAACCACGATGGTAGTGACAGTGATAGTGGAACAGAAAATATGGAGCTCAATAATCTATCTTGGACAAGAACTGGTGGGCCATTAATGAGAACGGCTTCAGCTCTTAAATTTATTTCAGGACATGAAGGTGACGGGAATGTATCGGAGCCTCAACGTCTTTACAATCAGGACAGTGAAGATGATGCTGACGGCGGCTTTAGGTCTTCGGCGGCAGCAACTCCGACCAGCCCCCAGTTGAATAGAACTCTTAGCTGGGATCCTCGGAGTAGCAAGAAGGCGAATAAAATATGGGCAAACAGGCACGGTACGGGTGACAGCAAAAGTGACGAAAATGAGTTGTCAGCCGAAGAAGCAGACTTTTCATTTCCCGTTGATTCCCCGGGCTTGATTAAAGCTCAAAGTGCTGTGGACATTCGTAGCACTAACTATACCGTTGGTGATACAGAGCTTGATCGGAGTTTTAGTTCAGGCCCAGCTTGTGAGTGCTCGGACATGGACAAGGGTCTAGGTATGGGCCTGAGTGGAGTTGACGGCTCTGGGCACAGGAAAGGTAGAAGAAGTTGGTCCGGTTTGGAGTTGGACCTGCTGAGTCCACGTACCGCCGATGATGTTCAAGAGTTGGCTATATCTGAAGCTAATGCAAGGGAAGTATCAAGGTCTGTTGCCTCAAAAGAAACCGAAATTTTAGAATCAGAATCCAGAGCTCTACAGCGGGGAGCGTTTGGGTCATTTGTTGTAAAACCTGACTCACCTCGAGATGAACCCAGCTCCTAGACCTGGAAAAAGTCTCAAATTCATCATCAAAAGTATTTGCAGTAAACGGGTCGTCTAATTAAGTACATACAAGTCTGATCGTTTGTACAGTGTTCTACAGTAGGACCTTGCCGCCTCATAGCACAGATTTTTATACTTCAATTTTCATAGTAGTGAACAAGGTGGACATTTAATGAAGGCCTTCAATTAGGTCATAGCTAGGTGTACAGATCCTTTCATGTCCAACTTCAAGTGTAGCAGCAAACTGTACATCATTAGCAATGAAGTGGACTAGAGAGTCGATACTCTGTTTGCCATTCAAGGAAGATGAAACAATCTCCCACGGCACTGAAGGCATTTTTCTGTTAACCTCGATACAAAACGGAACAGTTTTTATTCTTCTTGCAAGGACTTTCAGTCTTGAAAAAGCTGGCGGCGCAAAAGCAGATAAGTATGTCTTGCCAATTGCTGGCTTCTGATTGTGAGGCAGATTGTATCTCCTTCAGTGGGAGATATTGTGATTGCTCTTTTGTTATATCGTTCAACATCCTCTAGCTGATATTCATCTGTCTTCCAGATCATCTGTTCGGGATGTTGCCAGTCCATCCTACCCTATCGACAATGTATCATTGAAAGCTCGAATTATCTAGAAGACTTCTTTTCCTACTCTTTCCTATCCAGTCCTTACTTTGTATTTCAATTGGTCACTTCTATGAATAGTAATTCAAATGAGGGGATGATACATATCTCAAGTTGTATATTCACTTCCATTTCACAAATGTCATTCAAGGGTTTCAAGTTGCAGTTGTTCAGTTTAGCAACTCTTTACTCTTTATCTGAAGGTTTGTTGCAAATATGAGCTTGCCGCATTCCAGCATCTTAGGAATTTCTTCTGCCGAACCCATCAGAGTCAAGATTGGTTCAAAAGCTTTGCTGGTTCGATACCTCTTCTCTCCTCACCTTGTTACTGATGTTTTGAGTTGGTCTGACATAATTTTCGCGTTGAATTCCCATTTTTCTTAAATAATGCAGTTGCAGTTGTTGGATCGACTCTTCTGGATTTGTGATATGTTGTATTACAGTTTATTGTTCGGGCAATATATGGAAATTATTGGTACTTACTTGGAAATGGCTTCAACTCTATCCGTGAGAATCATACATCGGCATTGCATCTTCCACTTACTGAGCATGACATGACTGCGAACTTGTCGGTAACATAGATCTAGTACTTGTAACAACTAGACCCACATATATTTGTTACCAAAATTACCTTATGTTCTACTCACCATTTCATTCTCACTCTTTCAAGTCATAACAATTATGTAGGAGTCTAAGTTGACGTGAAGTGACTAGTATTCAAGTAATAAGTACAAGTATTGAGATGAATAGATATTCAGTATTCCCTCTGATCGATACTTGCCCTTTAGGTACATGTCAACAAATTCTTAGCCAGTTACACATTACAAATCGGCTGTAGATCTACCAATTTCGCGCAATGGGAAACGCACGAGTAAAATTGCAAATTATTTGTGATGTGGCTCCGTATTGAGTCCTCATCATGAGCAGTTTGCTCGTGAGAAGTATGCTATCTCTTCAATTTCGAAGTTTCATGATGCGGTCATTCATGCGGTAAAGATCTGCCAAAGTTAATATGTACAGTGTCTATTACATATGATATATATTCAAAGTAGAATTGAAATATTTGGGTAAGTAATTGAATTGTATTTCAAATTTTTTTCTTATAATTACCTTATGTCTCATAAATATTACTATAATTACTGTACTTGAAGTTAACCATATCTAACAATCCGATAATGCATGGTGTTGATTTTAACTAAAAAATTTATGTAATGTATAATTCATTTAACTACGTTAGGATAGATATTATAATTGTCGAAACAAAACAATTGATCTATTGGACACTGAACTTCTTCGACCACTACCAGTACAAACAGGTAGATGAGCACTCTGGGGAAGAAGAAACATGTCCCAGTGTTGAAGAGTAGCCCTGTCACACTCCCTTTGAAGAAGCTTACATAAACATTTAGAAACGAAGTTCCTGCTGCCGCCTGAAGAAGCGGTGGAGCATGTGGTTCAATTCGGTTCAACGCGCAAAACCTTACCGGCCCTTGATAATGTATGATTCTGACATCATACGAATTTCCTATTCATTTACCTACGAATGTTGATTTTGGAGCTAAGACTAAGAGTTTCGGTGTTACAATATTCTGTTATTAGTTATCTATTTGTATGCTATATTATAATATTATCAAACCAAATTTTTTGCAAAACATAAGTAGATATTTCTCATCATCCAGAAGAATGTTAATTCCTGTGGGGTAGTAGTATGGGAGTGACGGCTGGTCTAATAAAATTTACCGAACAGCATCTGATTTCTTGGGGGTAATGGTTAGAAATTGGTATAGCAAAACCATAGAAGAATACGATTTGGATGCTCCAGATACACTTGAGTACTAATCGTTTGCACTCGCTAGAAAACCACATTCTGTAAACCTCAATTGAATATTAATCCTAAGTTGTAATATTGTCTAATGATAATCTTGAACTGAGCCCGTCACCGTCAATCCACACTTTGTGTTCCTTGCTCGGTCTTGGCAAGTAACACGATTCGGCCAATTCCCTTCTGGACCCTGTGTACCTCAGGTGGTAGAGCATTCCTATGGTAAGGAAAAGGCCTCAGTTTCTGATCTAAAGTTTTATACAAATGTGATACTCAATCTTGGTCCTCGTGGAATTTACTACACAATTCGAAAAATGGCACAACGCATTTTATCTTATCTACTCGAAGCTCCGTGTAACCAGAAGATGAGTTGCTAATGCTGGCCTCGAAAGTTCTTGTAATGTAAGCCTTCGACGGGAGCCACGTCCGCGCAGCTTGGAAAATCTCCGGTTTGTTTTTTGTATACACAGGCGCCGACGGAAGCCACGTATCGCAAGATGCGTTAGAAGTGCAGTGTCGTTGGACCAAGATTAGTTCTCTTCACATTTATCGGTTATATTCTAAAATCTGTAACATCCTAGAAGACATGTCGGTGCAACGAAAGACGCTCACCACTGCTCCCTTCATGACTCTAACGCGGCTCGGAAACAAAAATTGGGACCCAAATTTGGGGCAATAGACCGCATTTTGATTTCACGTATAGTTTACAATGGTCACAATACACCTCAGATTGTCGACCCGCACGTGAGGTATCGCCAGTTCACACGATGTCCCACACTGGCGGAGGGAGCTCTCCCAGCTTGCCTTGTGGAGCGTGTACATCTCTACGACGGAAGTGCACGGCCGAGTGCGTATTCGCACCTTATTTTCCTGCAGATGAGGCTTTGAAGGTTGCATATGTGCAAAGAAATTTCGAACCCAGCAATGTCACCAAGATAATGCACGACTTGCCAGAATCGAGCCGAGCAGATGAGGTGACTTCGTTGGCTTTCGAGGCCGAGGCGAGAATGAAGGATCTGGCCGTTTCGTTAACGCAGAGAAGAATTGTGGAGTTGCAAGGAGAAATTGCGGAACTGATGGAGCAAGTAAAGTATTTCGAGGAGAAGAAGCGCATGAGACTGACTCAGGGGCCAAGTGGTACCCCCAATTCCTCTTAGTTAGTAATCTAGTTGCCAGGATGGTTACAGCATGCGAAGGGTTTCGTTTTCTGACATGTTTTGTGTGTAATTAGTCAATCCGTAGTAGCACGTTGCAGACTGCAGTGGATCTCAGATATATAGTAGCCCTATTATTGAAGTCATCTTTGCATCGCAGTCACCCGTGTGGCCTCCCGCTGCCTTCGTGTCAAGCGCAACCCTGAGTTCACTCATGAGGGAACAGTTATTCGGGTGCTTCTAAACCGTTGGGTACTTCTAGAATGTACATATCTGACGCTACTTGTGAGGGGCTCAACTGGAGGTGCTCAGCTGGAGAAAACCTGAGCGAGACTCAAAAGCAAAGCTCCAGCGTGAAAAATGATGTATCTGTAAATTTGCAGTGAAAATGTTTGTACAGACAGACTCGATATCAGTAGAGTTCGTCGAATGGGAGATGATACATGCTGGCAAGAGGAAGTTATGGTGCCATGAGTGCATTACAGTGGACACGAGTCGAAGAATTGTTGCTGTGTTAACTGCCCGTCTCCAAGTTTTCCAGCTGATTGATGTCGGGAATCGATGAGGGCAAGTTGATCTCGTATGATAAATTGTTGGCTTTCAATGCCTCTTTAGTACGAGGAGGACTTGATGTGGATCACACAATATTAATGTCTGGGATTGATCTGAGTCCTTTTGCTGCTCCAGAGCCTGGTCTTTTCACTCACTGTGCATTTCCCCTGCCTGTAACTGTGTTAGTCCACATCCACATGCTTCGAGCGCAGACGGGGTTTATTCCATGAACCCCGTCCCTTGTCGCTCTGCTGAACACTCAGGTATCATATGACTTGTCTTTCGAATGAAAAGACAATCAAGATGATCAGTGAGATGGTTGTCTCTGTTGAAAGTGAAAATTTGTGAGACAAAGCCGTGTCTTCACGGTTCACTTTCCCCCAGTAGTACTAGGGGAAAGTGAAGGCTCGTTTTCGGACTTTACCCTCCCCTTGTTAGAGATCTTTACTAATAGACAATTTGAATATCAGTACTTACCCGCATACATTTGTCTACAAGTCTGCACTGAGTCAATTGTCAAATCTTGCCCGAGAAGCAGAATGTCGAAATATGGTTAACAGCCACGATGAATGTGATGGTAAAGAAGTGTTAAAGCTCTCAGACTGTAGGCTTGATAATTATTACGTTCTATCACAATCAGTAAAGTGAGTTTCAAGTGCTAAATTGGTGATAATATAAGTCTTATGTCAAATCCTATTAAAACTTCTAAATTTATATCTTCACATGGAGTGTACATTTGATGAATTTCCAAGCTCTGCTGGCAAGCAGAGCTTAAGTCTAAATACTGCTTCATCAAGCATTAAGTATTCATGTGTTTGTGGGTAGGTACATAAATCTTTACAAAAAATCCCTCAAAACGGCCAAACATTGAACACAAATTTTTGTCACATGATAAGGTCACTATATCGGTTACTCCCGTACCTGGTTCTAGCTCGAAGGCCGGAGATGTAGTAAAAGATTGAGACCAAAAACCGAACACTATGAAAAATGATGTCCATCGATCTGGCGCTCCCAAAGTCGGGAAAATTGTCCTCAGAATCGACAGAGAACTTGTCCATATGTTAAAGTTTGTAGCCTCTTTTATTCAATTCTTAGACAGTTTTCTTGTTATTGAAAGAGGCTTGTGGGAGCGTTTCATGTGCTTTATTCTTTTATCTCGGATACGACTCGATGCTCGATATCCATGATGCTTGAACCCACTTTATTAATGCTTATGTTTGGTATGTGCTTGTATTTGAGGTCTTGACATAGAAGCAATTGTGGGGTTTAAGATTCTAGGTTACATTCAAATATGCAAAATATTCCTCCATGTTATATTGTAGCTCTGAGGATATGTCGTTCAATTTCTCTTTCAAGCATAATTTTCTTGGGGCTGCTTTCTCCCGTAACTTCAAGATATCACTAAGTTCTTAAACATAGGCAAAGTGCCAACTGTTTTTGACTTCTCATATAGCCTCTTTATGAAAATGGAGAACTAAATTTCATACATGAAAACATGGAAAAAACTACATCATATACTCCACAACGGTTACTGGGCACAACAAGTCGAGGCCTGACGGCGGAAGGTGAGTTAAGCATTAACACTTGAACTTTTGAATTCTTTGTAATTCTCAGAAACAAGTCTTGGCGTTTATAGAATATAAAATATATGTAAAGATGAAATATTTTATATTAAAAAAATATTTCATCTCTACAAGCGCGTATTTTTTTTATCAATCCAATGATCATTCTCTTAAATGACTCACATAAAACATATCCTAAAATTGTACACATCACTATCAAGGTTAAAAATTTAGTACCATCAATATATGTGAAGTGGCATGGTATAAAACTAAATGATACCCTCAAATCACACATCAGATCAGAACTCTCATTTACAAAGTATCGAAAAAAAAATATTTAAATTACTCGTAATATATTATGATTAGAAAGTAAATACTAGAAATGTAACAAAAATGTAATATCAATATGAATCACGCAATTTTTTCTATTGCAAAATTTAAGTGTTATTTAAGTACAATAAATGATGATAATTTCAATTGTAACATACAATCAATATGAAAATAAAATCTTATGTTAAATTCAACATAAGATTAATGTTAGTTAATAATTAGTTCTTCTTAACACATACTATTTTATTCTAGTTAGAAGGATTAGGGTTAGTCTGACGATAGGAAAGATTTTTGTAGTTATCTTTGGAACAAATTTAAGGCTGTTGAGTAAAATATTCATGTTTTCGTGAATTTAATTTCTGTAGAGATGAATCACGTATCTTGTCTTGCGGCTCTTCCTGTGTTGTGTGTGTAGGCTATGTGAATTTGGCGTACGGATTTAAAAATAAGATATTCATTTCAAACTTGTATTGATTTTTCTAAATTCCAAGTTCAATAATAGATAATGTCTTCTTCATCTCTCCCGGTGTATATTTATGTTGGTGCTATCTATTTTTTCAGCATATTTGATAACATGAAAGACTAAATAATTTTGATCTCTTAGACAACTTCTTTTAAATAATAAGAATCTACCTTAAGTGCTGTTAGTGAAATTTAACATGACGGAATATTTGAATATTTAACTTATACATCATTTACATCACATTAAAAAAAATTTGTTATAAATTTCAGTTCTTTTAAGATAGTTTTTTTCAAATCAGGTGTAAATCAAGTTCAATTCATTTGATGATTTTAGCTTGGACAAATAATTTAGCAAGGATGATGTTTCTCTTGTATTTTTCACAATACTACCATGATGAATAGAAAAAAATTGCAATTGGCTGTGAATCAAAACATCAATTTATTATGTAATCATATATATGTATAATTTTTGCAAAATTTTGATACAAACATAATAAATTTAATAACTTATTAATATATTTGTGTGGTTTAATGTATCACCGCATATACTTCACACTATTTTAACAATTGATTGTTGATGCAAAGGGAAGATAATAACCTCAATCTTATTATGTATTTTAAAAGTTATATAATAATATGAAGTTAAAATCTAGTTTTTACCAACCATATATAAATCTTTACCTTGATACAAATCTTTACCTTCTGAATCTTCAGATTATTTTTAAAAAATAGAACTTGTAAGATGTTTTTCTCAAACCGTACCATATTATATAATGTTATCAACAGGTACAATAATTATACCATGAATTATTATGAGCAACTATTAACATTAGACGTAGAGGAGATTTGTACATGAAAAATCCCAAGTTATTACAAGAATGTATGTTTCTACAAGAACTAGTGTAAATCATAACAATGAAAGCTATGACTTGATTTCAGAAATTATTATGACAAAAAATCTAATTCAAACTCTACCAACTTCAGCACTAGACATCTAATTGCACCATCCGCTATAACGGTAACCCCAAATGCAAACAACTTTTACTGCAGTGATGGCTACATTTGATGTTACATTTTACATGCTCTTAGCACCTGGCGCTATCAGCAAGGGACATAGGGCCCACATGTGAGCGGCGAACCGAAGCAACACATCCATTTTTGGATGAATGGATGTTTTGCTCCGAGACGAATAGTGTTGTCATACTCATGAAGAGCGTTAGTGTATTCACCAAGTCTGCAGTGTTTGCTTCCCACCATGAAATTCTTCAACAGGACACGGCAAGCTACGGGACAAACCCTGGCTCTTCCTGCACTAGGCTCGAAGGATGTATATCTAGAATCATGTAAATGATAACACATGACAATCATTCTTGGAATAATCTGTATTTTTGAAGGAATTCAGAGACCACGGACAAGTCTTAGACCGATTTCTTCATGACGTTGTAGAGATGATGAGTTTGTTGTTGTCGATGTTTTCATTCCTTCGGAATCCGAAGGGATTGTCCGAGATTTTCATGGTGGATATGTCTCATCCCAACCTTCCCACCACCCATGAGGTATTACGAGATCAACCTCAAGCCCAGCTCTCGAGAAACCTCCTCCATCTCAGGCTCCTCATTATCTTGGTTACCCGTTGAGCCTCATCCCTGTAGAGCTTGATGGGGTCTTCCCATCCTTTTGCTCAAGTGCTTGGCCCTCCATTTCCTTGAGCAATACGTACCATAACAGTGAAACATTAGCGTGTCTCTGGTTTCTGGACTGAACAGCACAACAAATCAGGCTGTGATGTGCCTTGGCCCTCGTGTGCGGCTCGCTTTCTTCGCCTCTTCATATCCTCGTCAACTGTCCGAGACGAGGTTTTGGAAGCGACAAATGCAATAGAAGACCAAGTCTCATCGAGTCATAGACCATCAGACGACGAACCATGAGATCACAGTACAGTAAAAGGGACTCACTGTACAAATTATTAATTCTCTGTAAACATCCATCATCGAAATCTATATCTTGAAGCCATACTCCAGTGAAAGCAGGAATATCTTGGGATAATGTAAAGAGCAAGGTTGTCAGGAGAAAGTGGACTAATGCGTACCCTCGAAGAGATCCGTGTGCTTTTTAAGTGTGCACTCGCATCGTCACTGTGGCTTCGGGTGTGTGACACCTAGGCCCAAGATTATAAATTGAATGATTCTTGCTCCATGAAATTGTATGTTACTGTCCTTGACATTTGCTGGCGGAAAAGTCTGCCCCTTCAAAAAATTTCAGTCATCTTCATTTTCTGAAAAGAGAATCAATGAGAGATAGTTATCAACATGAGGGATTTTCCTCACCAACTACAGCGCTGCAACGCTGTAGTTGTTGAGAAACCGAATGAAATTTGAGAATCTTGTTCCTCATTGAGTTTCCTCAACAACTGCAGTGTACATAATTTCAATTCAGTTTCGATGGGCATCTCGATTCTCGAGAACACTTCGTCCGAAGGGAACATCTTGCATTCGAGTTCAAGGATCTAAAGATACCGTATTACCAATATTCCATTAAATTATGTGAAAGCATCTGAAGATCATCTGAAACGCTTGACGGTTTGTCAAGGAGCATGATCTGATGTCGGCGCGAACATTGGCTTTCACGTTGGTTTTCGTACCTATAAACAATCCCCTAACAGTCATGAGAATCAAAGTTCATGGAATTGGAGATTGAGGGGCTCCGATGATGCGAACTATTCTTCTTGCCCCATCATGAATTTTTTTTATATATGTGCTAGTAGTCATCTATGCGTGTACAATTGAAAGGTAGATCTCGAATCACCTTCCACGTCGTTATTGACCAAAAAATTGGAGTAGAGCAGATACAAGATACACCCTTCCCTCGCTACCTTCTTTTCTTCACCAACTTATGACGATCATGCCCAAGACACGTCAGGTCCAGCTTAAAAATTCTGGGCATGTAGTACAGCACCGGCGAGTGAAGACGTACTCCTACATGAAAAGTCGTCAATCCTACATCTGTCGTGTAGACACTCAAGCGCACCATCGTATATTGCCATACTCCATCTACCTTGACAGGAATGTGTAGCATGAAGTACGGTAATCTTCTTCACACGCACGAAGCACTTTCTTCCCATTGGAAAAACTGCGATCGTCACAATATAATCTGATTGACCTTCGATTTAAATATTGCTCGAGTACTAGTGCAAGAGACCTGCGAAATACTAACGACGAATGACTGCATCTGAGTCTTCAGAAGAAAGAAAACGTGCACTGAACAGGAGCATGCATAAAATGCTCCGCAAAAGTTTTACTGTGCACGAAGATCCACACGCACAAGCATTGAGAGACTCGCGCAGACAGAGAATGGGCCACCACCATCAATCAAGAACTTATCTGTGCGTTAGTTTTCTATATATACATACCACCATCACGTGAGTTTGCAATGTAACACATTGATCGAAACATGCCGCTTAGACGAGCACTGTGTTCACATTTGAGCACTGTGGACTTTTGCGCACATGTGGCCAAGCCTTAAATTTCAAAACAAGTAATATGTCGGGGATCACAAAGTCACCCGACACATAGGTTTACATTTACGAGGATGACATTAGTCAAGGCTCGCTTCTATTTGACACAAGACGGAGACTACTTTGTTCAATTATCTCCAGAATAGATCTACTGTGGACAAATGGGCAGCCGAGAGGTAGAGAAGTTAAACCCGAGACTTTCTACGATACTCTTCGGCAAGGTTCAGACCTTGACCACCTATTTCATGACCACAACGGTCAAATTCCCCAAACGGCAAAATTTAGCTCTTTCTCCACTGTACAATGTACACAGGTCAAAAAACACCAGTCCAAATGAGACAGTGGCACTAATATGCCTATGACCTCTAGTAGACCTATTCGACAAGCAGTCCACTAGACATCTAACCACCTCTTTAAGTGTTTTGAATGTTTTAATCGAAACAAACCTTATAATACATGGCTCCTCTACTGACTCCGAGTCCGAGGTTGAGGTTCTCTCCGTCCCTAGATTCATTCATGTCCTGAAACTTTAGAATTTGAATATGAAATACACACTCGTAGGGCCGAATCACACAGGAGAATCTGCTGGATTGACCGCACGAAGGGAACTTGCAACCTCCTTTTGATCATGAACACTAGGGTCTTGCTTTTCCGACTTCTCTGGCTTGGATGATGACTCCACCAACTTCGTGCTGAAAGGCACATTCGTCTGATTGGGGTCGTACTGCTGTACCACCAGGACGGAGGCAAGGCAAGTAGGGGAAGTCAAAACATCTCCCACAGGTCCAAGCTCGGAGTACTCGGGGTGTCTCCGCGCGACCAAAGCTGACAGCAAGGGCGATGGGCGGCGACTGCGACCCACCAAAAACAGATGATAGATCTTCGAACAACCGATCTCCGTGACCGCGTCCTTGAAATCCGTGATCTCGACCTCTTCCAGCGTCACATTATCCGACGTCACAGCAGCGTTATCACGCGACTCTTTCCTCATCTGGCGTATTTCGGTGATAGCGTCCTCGTCCATCGATCTTTCTTTTAATGGATCAACCTCCACGCTGGCAAAGTAATGGCTAGACGAAGCTCCAGATCTTCTGATAGTGATACCATCGGAATTGGTATGCGTTGTGAATCCTTGTGGCAAATCCGGAATATCGAGGTCTGCGGTGTATCGGATTACGTTAAGTTTGACACCTGGATGTTCAGCCATGCGTAGGCCCAAAGCCAGTGCCTCGCGGTCGTCAGGCCCCCCAAAGAAGAGAACAGCCACTCGATGGTCGACGTTGTTGGGCGCTATCTGAGCAGCTCCCCAAACACCACGGTCGATGAGGATTGCAACCGAACATGGGGCATGCTGCAGGACTCGGCGATTCACAGTGCGATATTCGGGGTGACTGCTCTCCAGCGCCCCGTCAACCCTCAAGTGCTTGTGGAAGGGGATTATAATAATGGCGGCACGTTTCTCCTCAGCTGTGCCGCAAATATCTTCATGCATGTCGTCGAATCTAGAAATAGCTGTCATGGGACGCACGGTAACTTTGCTCAGTGGCCCAAATGCCTCATAAGCCACCACAATCTGATCTGTTCTCGCGGCACCTCCATCATCCCAAAATGGTCGACCGTCCCGTCTGGCGCGTTGCACCATCATAATGGCCGAGGAACGCTCAGATAGCTCCATGAGATGAAGCATGTACAGTCGAAGCGTCCGTTTGTCTGCCCCCCTCACGGTCTCCGTCAAATTGATCATCGCGGGTACGTTCCTGATACTGTGCACGCATGTCATGATACGTAAATTTTCCTTGGATCGATCATTGGCCAATTTCCTGCGGTTGTACGGCACAATATTCCGAGCAGGCTTGTAGAGAGCCATCACGAGGGGTGTGGTCATGAAGGTTGTCACGAGAGCCATGAGAACCATGATCGCAAATATCTCGTCATTCAAAACCTGCACAGCAACGAAAAAAATTTTGATTAAGCTCCACAAACACCAACGAGAAAACAACAGATTTGCAGCTCAGCTTCGACTTGATAGTCAACAATCAGTGACTAAAGCTGCGCAAAAGAAATAAGCCCCTTACCCCACGGTCCTTTCCGATGTTCAGAACGATAAGCTCCACCAATCCCTTCGTGTTCATGAGTACTCCAATCGCCAAGGATTTGCGAACATTTCGTGTGTAGGCTTGTGAGACAATGAACGTCCCGAAGACTTTGCCAAAGCACGCCACTGTGATTACGAGCACAAGTAGACCCCACGACTGGGCTGTCTTGACGGTGCCGATGTTCGTTTTCAGACCACTGGAAGCGAAGTAGAGTGGGAGCATCAGAATCGACACAAAATCTTCCAGCTTCTCGATGATATGGGTTGCAAATGTTCCTTCCTTCGGAATGATGAGACCGAAAACGAAAGCACCGAAGATAGAATGGATCCCGATAACGTCTGTTGCAAAGCCCGCAATCAAACACAATGCCAGCACGATACACACGATGAACTCCGGAATGGGTTCGTTATCCGGTGACTGGTGAGCTATGTGATTCATCACGGGCTTCACAACCACGAACATGAATATGACGTATGCAGCACCGCAGAGAAGAACCCAAATTGCTATGGTCGGACTAGTGTTGGTGCCAGAGAGAGCAACTGCCAGTGCGAGGAGAATCCAGGCAGTCACATCGTTGACAGCAGCAGCTGACATTGCCATTTGTCCAACATCGGTGGTCAACAGCTTACGCTCCGCGAGGATGCGCGCCAGCACGGGGAACGCAGTGATGGACAAAGCTACTCCCATGAAAACCAGAAACGGAGCGAAATCCGTGCCTTTAGCGATAGTTGCTCGAAGGACAAACGAAACTCCGACACCCAAAGAAAATGGCAAGAGCATACCAACTCCTGCTATTGCTAAAGACTGTGATCCAACTCTTCGCAAAGCTTTCAAATCCAGCTCCAGTCCAACCATGAACAAGAAGAAGAGAAGCCCCATGTTGGCAAAGGTTTCGAGAATTGCGATGCTCTCCTTCGGAAAAAGGTTGGTCATGTAAGCTTTGTTTCGTCCCAACGCGGAAGGTCCGAGGAGAATGCCACCCTGTAGCACAAATAGAGAGCACAAGCCAATCAGCAACCCACAAGCCAAAAGATACATGTTTGGTTCGGAATCGGTAGCAGCTTGACAATGGAAACTCCAAAAAATTCCTAAAGCGAGATAACCAATGTCTTACGAAATTTCTCTGACATGAGCGATAAGAGATCAGAGGTGCGCTGAACTTACGATAATCTCTCCAATAACACGCGGCTGTCTGAGAGGTTTCAAAACAAACGCCAGCGATCGAGTGACGCAGATTACGAGTATAATTTGAATGACAAGGAGAGGAAAGGAGAAGTGTATGGGGTTGTCCTTCTGCCACACGCCATTCGACACTGCTTTCATGGGATGAATACATGTCGAGGCCAGAACGTAGGATGAACCGTTGAACTCCATTCTGAATCACAACAACACCTGAGACGGAATTTGCTGAACAAAGTCAAAACTCCCAGGAGCTGTTCGAAGACACCAGACTATCACAGTACACCGTGCGGGTGTTTGTCATCGAGATGATGACAGACTGCCGCTCCAGACCAACGCCCAACTTCGGCTACACATCCCCTCCATTTATCTATTCGGGCGCCACTCTACGTAGTCATGCAGATTGGCTCAAAACGCGTGCAGCGGGAGCAATAGACTTCCAACGCTCAGGCACGGGCCGTCATGACCAACCTCACACAACATAAACAAGACAGGAGCAGCTCAGACGAACTGAGAGATGCAAGATCCGCCTCATCTTTTGCTTTGCGGATCCCCTACTTTAACCTCTTCAGGAGCACCCACGGACTTCCCCTCCAGCCGAAAGTACACCTAGTGCAAATTCGTAAATATTAAAATAATCCAACTCGGGCGCCCAATCTGAATTTGCGTGAATGGGGGAAGTGCAGTAAACTGACTGGAGTTGATAAGAAGGATCCCTCTTCCCTCGGGCAGTGGGTTAACTCCGGCCCCGCCTCTCTACACTCGCGTCCAAAAGTATCTGTAGTACACTGATGGGATCGAGACGGTCCCGCCCAAGATTCCCAAATTTCCCACTCGCTCAAGAGTCACACCTCTCACTCTTCCCTCTCGGGGATCCCTATTTTCTCACTGTCAATCACCGATGTACAGAGAGCGACCGGGAGAGAGGCGCCACCGCATGCCCGCAACTCTTGTGCTGGCTTTCCTTGTTTGTTTCACTTGCCTTGCATGTGTGCGCAGGTCCTTGATTGACCCCCCATGGGCACCGTGGATTTATTACAGAACCTCCTCGCAACAAGAGTCCCTCTATCGAGCTCTGTTTGACTGCGTTGTCAGCACGAGACGTGGAGGGAAAAGCTCCGTCTTGTGCTCAGCGGATCGAAAGTTGTACCCCCGGCCTGCCAAACGGCGTCTACGGTCTACTTGCTCCCAGCTGTTGGGCATGCCCTGTGCTACGATACATACACGGGCGCTCGTGTTCCCCCGACACCATCCACTGCCGGGTCACTTACCGAGCCACTTACCTCCCGATGAAACCATCCTCCGCCTCCCTACGAACTCTACAGCGCGCTAGATTTTACCGCCAACCCCAACAATCAATGAATCGATCTATCAATCAATCCCTGCCCCGAGAAATGGCTCCCCGAGCGCACAGTTACATTTCGCTCCCGCACTCAAGCCAAGGTCCGACCTTCGATGGTCCCTTGCGGCGACTCCCCCGGACCCGCCCGAGGAATGGAGGCGTCGCATCGGCAGGTGCATGCATCTGTCAGACAACTCCATCGCATTTCGCTCCGATCGACCGACATCCCTTTTCGGCCTTGACGTGGCGGAGCAGACAACCTTTTCTCGGCTCGCATGTTTCACCTCCCCTCCAGCTCCGGATCCTCCGCCATAGCCACAAGCCACAAGCCTGCTCCTGCTCCTCCTCCGAGCTCCTCCTTCGCTCTCTCTCCCTCTCTGGCTCGACTCCTGCGCCCCGACGCCAAGCCTTCAAGTCGTGCTAGGGCGGTCCAATCCAGGCGCGCCTCCCGACGGGCAATCGTGAGCGACCCGTTTAACTGGCGCTTATTTTAGCCCCGCCTCCCTTCAAATTTAGGCGCTCTCCCCATCCGACTTGGAACAGGGCCGTTACACCGGCGGAGTCGTATGCGGCACTGTGGGGATTCCAGTGGTAAAAACCGGAAGGTGGACTGGTGGCCCCTTTACGTGACGGCGAGACTGCTTTTGCTGTGGATTTGCGCAGGTCCGGGTGCCGATGACATGACATGACTCATTAGTGTCCACCATGTCATGTCCACGTTACTGTGCCGCTTGACGTGATCTTGCGAGGATGACGTGGGCGCGCTCTACAGTCCGGCGGGCTTGTGAAAGGCCGAGGGCCCTTCATCATCATGCAAAGGCATCGACGGCATACGATGGCGCAGGAAATTCCAGCGTGGCTTCCGCTGCGTGTCGATATGGATTTGCACAGCGGCCCGGATGGATGTCCGCCTTGCAGTGGCGACGACGGGCGGTCGCGCGCTCGAGGCGCCGGAGCTGTACCTTGTGAGGACAGCGGTAGCTCGCGAACGGAGCCGAACGCGCATCGGGACACAGATCGGGCGAACCGTCCAGCGTGGACGCTTGGAGAGAGGGGAGAAGGTGGCGATGCCGGGGAGAACCGGAGGCAGCTCGAGGGACTCCTCGCCCGAGGTCCATATAGATAGCGGGCTACCGGAACCCGAACCGGGAAAACGGCCACCGGCGACTGTCAAAAGTGTTTCGCCTGTATCGCCACGTGCATTGGGAGCATCGGCGAGCCGAGCAGGCGCTCGACGTCATGTCTACACGGATGACGCACGCTTACTGCGACCGTAAGGCCGAACGTGGTATAGAGATCCACAGTCGGCCCGATGTCCTCTCTATTCAGATGTGTCCACCTTTTGCAGCAGAGGCCCCTCTATCCTCTTCCTTATCTGCCTCCGCAATCTCGGCTCGTACGACGGTTCCTATCTTGGAGCTCTTCCTCGAGTCTGACATGTTTTGGAATCTTGGATTCCTGTGTGCTTTCTGACCCCCCTCCGTGTGTGTGATTTGACCCTTCCTCGTTTAGATTTTCACTTGATGCACGAGATGGACAAGTTATCGGGAACTGAGAACTTCCATCGCCGTCCGATGTCTGAGCATTTCGCCATCGGCTTATTCCGATTCTCCACCTGGAGCAGTCTGCCAATCTTGCATGCTGAAGCTAAAGCCACAGATTCCTCTTCTTTCCATTTCATTCCTTGTCCTCTCTTTTCCTTCCATTCTCCTATGTTGCCATAGTGATTGCATGTCTGACTCGTAGGGCTGTTATTGCGAGAATCTCGCAAACTATGAAGTTTGCCAATTGGTAGAAGTCGTGAACCTTTCCGAATTATAGCAGTATCCAGTATGCGACATATTCACTAGAGTAATGTACGCTTTTCATTCTATAGAGTATGGGTTTAGGACAAGTGAATTGTGTTTACTACGTCCTGCGTTGAATCCGAAGTTGACAAGACTTCGTTTTTGTAGTTTTCTGGTAAAGTTGAATAGGTGAACCGTCGTTGAAGTGCTTCATGTCTTGCATCGAGAAAAGGGAAGAGGAGATTCAGAATTGACAATGATGACATACAAAGGAAATCTTGGGGGAAGCCTTAGATTCGATAATGATTAAGAACTCAAACGTCATGAGCACAATGTTCAACTTGGAGACTTGGACGAGACCGTATCTGGATCAGGTGTTGATTACTTTTCCTCGAAAGACGATATCAGAGGGGTTTCAACTGAAGCACGGGTTTCACACGATGGGCAGAAAACAGCTACAAAAGGCGCTAGTCACTGGAAATGGTCACAGTATCTCTTATAGAATTCAGATGAATTTCATAACTTAGAACCTCTTGTTGATTCGTCCTGTATTGTTTTAAAAGAGGCGAAGGTTGGTGTAATATTTAATACGGATACCAGATTTCTGTCTTGATTTTTACAGCGCAAATCTTACTCGATGAGTATCCCATCATTAATTTTTGGGAAAGCTGTTCGAGGTTGGTGCTTGATCTTTCACACTATCGATTTTCGAGAGTTTTCATCATCTTTTTATATTGAAGATTAAGACACGACAACTCGAGCCGGCAAGACACGAATAAAAATATCCAAATTCCCAACTTGGTTTTTTGTTCAAAACCTATTGAATACCTTCTAAGTTTCTTATATATCAGATATTATTTGAAAGACCTTCATTAAGTCCACCACTTTGTCATTGGGATTACCAAAAATATCATAATGGATTTAGCTCGACATCTTTCCATGTTCCTTTCATGGGGGGCCACGGAAGTTAATGAATACAAATTATACCATACGTTTTAATGATCCATGATTATCTTTTGTATTTATAATCATATTATTCAGTCTTATATATATATATATATGAAGGTAATTTGCCTTCTGAATTTTTCTATTTTTCGTTCTAACGCTTGCATTTCCAAGAAATTCGCTCGATCACTTTCAGGTATTTCTTGACTCTTGCAGTTTTTGTTCGGTTGTATCAAATTATGGTCGACGAGAGATGGAATGATACGCATGCACTCTTCTTTTGGTTTTTATGAGTTGGACTTTGGGCCTGTCTCCAAGTCTGCTTTGTTGACTCCCATGTTGCATTGACCATCTCTTTCAAGGGCTTCTTATTTAATATGTCTACGGACAGTCATACATGCTTTCTCTGTTGTGTTGGGCTAGGTGCACACGCAGTGCCGATTATAAGCATACGCCAGTCTGAAAGCAAACATTCCAACACCCACAGTCAAATTGAGTAGCTTGCACTTCAACACAACTACAAATCGAATATCGTTTCCAGGTATGAATTGCTACGCAATAGAATGACGGTTGGAAACTGCACGGGGTCGATGATTGCATGCAGCTTCAACTTCTCTCCACTCCACTCGAAGTGGTAATGTATGAAGACCCGGCATACAAGAGACTTGGCAAGTGGACGAGAAAACCAGAAGCAGTGAATTTGTCAGGATCAATCCATCAGGAACGACAGAGGAGAGTGAGGTGGCCAAAACCTGAAAGGTGATAAGAACTATCGTCTTCAAGCAAGCGATGAGCACGTGGGGATGGCGGACCTGGCAAGGCCTATCGTGTCAGGACTCAGAGAATCTAATTACAACACACGGAGCCATAAGTAGTAAGGGAAGAGAGAGTGCCAAAGCCAAAGTTTCTGTTCTCTTCGTGACTGTGCCAGGTGTCTCTTTCCGCATCAACAGGAGCACCAACAAACGAGCTACAGATCGCGACCAGGTGTCCTCACCGCAGATGTCAACGCCGATGGCAACAGTGGCAGATGTGAATCGTCGTTGAAAATTTCGTGGATATTCGGCGGATCCACATGATTCTACTTTCAATGGGTGTGTTGACTTCAGACTGTAGACAAGATTCACCGAATGCCGAATGCTTTTTGATTGCTGAACCGTAAACCGTGATTACGGTGCAGTAGACCCTCACGAGTCCATTCCAAACTGTGAAAAGATCCAGTTTTAACGACCTTCCCACCGTTCCACCATAAACTTCGGACGGCAAATCAGTGCGCACATGGGAGACCGGTTTTGGGAACCACAGCCGCAAGAGCACGAGTTCAGCTCCAGTTCGGTACGTTGGCTAAACTTGGAGGTAGCTTCATCAAATCACACTTGCTTCCGTTGGAGATCGACATTCGTCCTAGAAATAGATGTCCTTCTATAAATCCTCCAGCATGAGTCCCGCCGGCAGTTACACGAAATTTTAGCTACAAAATGTAGTCCATGTAATTTTGCTCGTGGTGACGAAGCGGAGGATAAGAGGTATGCGTTGTTTGGTCGAAGTATATACGAAATGCTATGGGCCAAGTAATATATCATAAACATGAGAAGGTCAAACCAAGTAAGATGTATAATGCCACGAGACTCAATGTGAGGACAATTCTGTGTGTAAATCGAGGGGAGATTGCGGAGAACCTGGGAGTTTGCATCTGAGTGCGGAAGTTGGAGATAATGCCGGATGGTGAAAAACTTCCTTGAAGAGTATCACGGAGCGATCCTTGTAGATAGCAATATGAGGAAGAAATTTAGAATCCTGTATAAATAATGTCTGAGTAGCTAGAACAGTATCTCCAATTTGCCAGAGTTCTGAGAGGAATCGATCCTGGGATGCCAAAGTGCAACTGAATCTCCCGAAGCCGGGTGGAGATCTCGAGGGCTTACTATACCTGAGTTTGATTTCTTGTGAAGTTAACCCAAGAATTCGACCCACAAGCTCTTGAGATGAGTGAATTCTCTAGCATGACTCCTACGAGGTTGCTCACACACACACATACACCCTTGTAACTGGGGATCTTCTTTATTAGCAAAGGAATATCTATTTGAGAAACAATTCTGATTGATGCTTGTTGTGTGACTTGTGGTATAACTCTTCACTCATACGTCACACAAATGTCCATCTCACGCTGCAATGCTGTCAAGAGTCCATAGAAGAAGTGTGACCTCGCGTGTTTGTCTGAAATTTCGTCCCTGTTGTAACATATTAAATACACTACAATGTGCAAAAAGACTTTTTTGCCACTTACACGCACTTCGTACATATCACTTCTCTTCTATTGTGCGGAGAGAGGTCATGTGTGTTGAATATTTTCATTCACTCTTTAGTCAGGTGATGTATGTAATACTTCATGGTTGTTCATCCTACTACTGCGTTAAGAAAACCAATAATATATACGCTACATGCTTGAAAAATATATATATGTGATTTTTGTATACATCTTTCGCTTCTACTAGCAAATCCCATCAACCAAATATTTCTTAACATGAAACTTTGAACATGTTTTCTGGTCGTTGATGCTAGGCTTACAATACCAAAATGACATTTGATGCGAAATGACATTGACCTGATTGTAAACATACCATATAGTACATGACTGTACTCTCTGGGGATTTTCGCCCATATGTTGGGAGCTCTATGGAACAAGCAGATATACGAAGAGGGGAAAGGATGGATGTGTATGTACATTAAAGAGTGTGGGAGAAAGTCACACTCAGGGAGAACCCGAGAGCGTGGGAAAACAAGGTGTGACTCGACATGTCGATGGAGAGATGTACGCAATAGGCAGAGGAATAGTCAACCAAAGTCTCCTCGTCAGCCTGCCAGAGTTTCCTTTTCGCATGATCGTCAGCATGCTGTCCACTTTTGGGAGTGTTACCCACCTCCATCGCAATCCTTCTGTTGTCTCTTATGATC